TGCTGACAGATAAGTTGAGCTGAGCCGCTCTGGACCAGGGACTCCATCCGCTTCTTCCTTCTAAATGAAACAGACTGTTATTCTTTCCAGCCGGCCATACAGTAGCCCTGTCCATCATTAAAGCTATGAATCATGTCTCTGCACTTGCACTGGCTCCCTCAGGGGTATATCATTGCCTTGCCCCTTAATCTGGGCAGATTTCCGTGCCGGGTCCACTATATAGGGTTCTGTTTTTAGCACAATGAACAGCTTGCTCATGTTACTCTGCAACTGTACTGCATACCACAATCTTCCCACATTTGCCATCAAATACTAAGGTTTCAGGTGAAATGCCAGTAAATGCGCTTGCGCCCTTCAGCAGTGGTTAAACTGAACATTACCCAGCATGGCTTTTATAGGGAGAATGTTTAGCTGCTTTTTAGCCTTTTTAGCTGTCATTATCACAGCCATGGGAAGCGCCATATGTGGTTTATGTCGATGCTAAATTGAATGTTGAGGGATTTGTTCCATAGAGAGCAGAGGCTACAGTTCTGCTGGTGAGAAAGATAAAAAGAAGTCATGCCTCTAAGCTGCTTCACGCTGTTTTGGAGGTCAATTGCTTCTTCAAAATACTCTCATTAAACTGTAGGACCTAAATATAGGCTAGTTTGTTAGAAAATTGGTATATTCTCTTTGATTCTGGTTTGAACCGCCATGTCAGAGTAATTTATATGCGGAGTTTTCCCTCAATACTGATGCAATAAGTTGCAAAGAAATTTGTGAAATTGGAGAGAGAAGTCACCCTTTTAACAATGTGATTGCATACGAGCATGTATCAGCTTGTATGTACTTAGACAGAAAGACAAAAAAATAAAGCTGCACTTGTTGCATTCCCTGCCTGCAGAAAAGGTGTACGAGTTAGAAGATGTAGTTGAGAGATTAGCCACAGCAGTTGAAAAAAATTTCCATCCATCACTCAGACTGCAGAAATCTGTCTGTTTGCTCTAACTAATTGGCCATCCATCTGTCAAAACCCGGTTTCAATACCCTTTGGACAAAGTCTGGATGGTCAGTCATCATCGTAAACCAACTGCAAATGTCGAGAAACAGGCTGACAGGAAAAATAAATAATATATCCAGGAGCAAACAGTGCCTTGTGCAGAGAATGTGAAAGGATGAATACATTTTAAATGCAGCATACACAGCATGTTAATATTAAGTAGAGATTCTCTCTCAATACGTTGTGATGCTTTCATTTATTAATTCAGCAACACAATGGCTTGTAGATAACTTTCAGTCTGAAGTCTTTGTGTGTGTCTGTGTAAAATGCTTATTTTCTAACTCGTGGTTGTTTGAGCCGAAATGTCTTTTCTGTGAACAGCTCTTCTCTGTATCCCTCATTGAAAATGCTGTTGCTTTCTTTAGAAAGCTGAGATGCAGCATTGACCCCTCTTAGAGAAGAAGAGTGTTGTTGTAGTACCACAGCCCCCCTTCTCTCCCCCTCCTGTCACTTCAGACAGCCTCTCACTGGAGAGCTCTCTCTCAGATCAGCACTAAACTCTCTCCTTAGTCTCAGGAAGTGTTGGAGGAAGCACTCTCAGCCTAGTAGGCTTTTCTTAGACTCCTAGGTCTCATTGCATATTCATAGCCCCCTCCACAGTAGAGGGTATCAAGTTTAAAAGGAGAAAAAAAAAAAAGACAGCCAAGCTTTAATTATTTACTGTGATATTGTTAATATTCTCTGATTTTAGATTACAATACATTAAGGTTTGGTCATTAATGTTTCATATTTAAAAAAATTTTTTTGTTCATGTGGACAGTGAAGCAGTGCTGCCTGCGTGGAGGCCATTTTCCCATGAGCATGAACAGTTAAAACATTTTTATGCATCACTCTCCATTGCTACACAAATGATGCAGAGACACTTACCGCTGTAAGTGGAAATTGAGAGGCTGGAAATTGTCATCAGATCTTTGTCCTTCTAAACAACACTGTCTAGTGTTGGGCAAATTCATTACGCAAACAAACCAGGTTACACAGCTTTATATTAAGCATGAGCAAACTGCAAGCACCAGAATCTTTTCTTAATGAATCGTGGAGAAAAATTCAGAGTAATCCTTTTCAGTTTTATACTGTAAAATACAGTTGGTTACAAAATGAAGCAATTACCAAAGCTGCAGTAACAATGCTGCCTTTTGTTGAATGCAGCTCATACAACACTTAGAAAGTAATTAGAAAATTAACAGAAGGATGGGGAGAAATTGCAAGTTTCTGATTATGCAACTCTTAGTAAACTGTAAATGATCAGTTTTTTGTATTATTAAAATCTGTGTTTTTATTTTTATTAATAAAAAAAAATAAAAATAGCACCTAAAACAAAAACACAAACAGAATTTGCAGGTCGAGTGATTTCACATGCAGCAAGTCCAGCTTCAGTTTCTCTTTAAGTTGCAAAAACTGGTCACAGAAAACAAAATGTACTCTTCGCACTCTTCGTCAGAGCAAGGAGAATACGTACTTCTTTTATTCTGGTATAATGGTTTAAAATGACACCTGGTTTTAACCGCACAGGGTCTTCCTTAGGACATAAACAATAGACAAATACAGATTGATTACATCTGGTACTCCATATCAACATATGGCGTATTGTCTATTGTACACGGTACAGTGTATTGCCGATTGTGACAAAACCCACAAACACATGATGTTGCCTGTGGGACAGTGTGCCTTTACACTCAAATCTCTTTCTCATTTGACATCACTGCCAATCCCGATAGTGGAAAAAATTCATACGCTTACTTCGTAAACAAGTGACCACAAGAAAAAACAAAAATAAGAGATGCCTTCAGTTGGATTCAGACGAGAGCCTCTGCAACCTGTCCTCCTCCTGATTAATAGCCAACGTGTCTTGCTGAGCAGCATGCTCTGCCACGGCTGGGGGTTCAGACTGTGAACGAGGAAGTGGCTGACAGTGGTGAGCTATGTGCTGCTCTGCTCCATGGGAGGTAATGAATTGGTGTGGCTGCCAGGACTGAAGTGTAGACAGCAGGAGGAAGAAAAGTGATCAGTCTTTTAGGGTGAGGTACTACTTGTCCAGCACGCGGGCCGCTGATAGCAGGAAAGACAGAGCATGAAAGAGAAGGGAAAAGAGGGTGGAAGGTCTTTGTAAGAGAAGAAAGAGAAAGAGTTTAGAACAGGACAAACTTAATAAGAGAAAGCAGACAGAAAAAGACAGAAAAAGAGAAAGAAAAGGATGGGTGAGAGGTGGGGTGTCACCCACTCTATGTTAACATTCCTGCAGAAATTCACTCCCTGTTCCCCCACAACACTCCTTAAACCACCACAGAGGGGGTTCATTATTCTCACTTTACTCCTCCACTAATTATCGTTATCATTATGGAGGATAATTACCATTTCACTGCCTAACACCCATGTAGGCTGCACTGCTCTGAGTCACACACAAGGTTATCAATAGCTGCTCAATTGCAGTCTCATCTGCCTAATTATACGATTTGGGCTTTGTGATAACTGAATAGGATGTGAAATCTAGTATTATGCCTTGTGAGTACTGGTGAGACGCTGAAAGTCAGCAGAAGGCCCTGGAATACACTGATGTGTGTGGAGCCTGTTAATTAAAAGCTGTGGCTTTTGCTGGAATATAAATCAGAGGAAATCCAGGGTTATGAAACAACTGGAAGACTCTAAAATATCCTGCACGCTGGCTGAGAGCTGCATACGCAGTTAAACAGAATCCTCTGAGATCTAACTTCAGATCCTCTATCTTTGGTTTCCTTCACTCATTACCCGTAATACATTTCACAAAGAACTTTTACATGTTATCTGATTTTATGAATTTCTTCTCTAGGATCTACTTTCAGTTAACCCACACTATTAGCACCAATTCAATCAGTTCATAGCACAGTATCAATGAAGAGCTGCAGCAGCATGCAGTTGTTCAACAGACCTCTATTACAGTCGCTGGCTGTGACTTATGCTAAGCTTAGTAGCTGTGTTTGTCGAGGGGGTCTCTAAATCCCTCTGTGGCATTTTGGAGATGCAGCTGACGCCTTGAACCTGGTGAATGCTCTCTCCATCTGCTGCAGCTCAACTGACACAGCCTGTCCAATCAGCAGGCGCAATTAATTAGACTTCCCCTCTTTTACCTACGGAGAGAAGCAGAGATGAAGTCAGGAATGGATAAGGGGGCATGAGGGCATGGGTTCAGAGGGTAAGAAGAGGGAAGAAGGTGACACTGGGAATGGTTCAGTAAGCATATGACAGACAGTTGGGTCAGACTGGTGGAATGTGTGCCACAGAGGACCTCATGACAGACGGGAGGCACTTTTTCTTTGACCCCAATTACCAGAGGTGTTTCTTTCCACCAGCTAATCCATGGCATATAGGGTGGCCCCTCCTCTGTACCCTGGAGATTTACTTTTCCATCCTGTTGTTTCCCCTACAAGTCATATGGGTTATAGCATAGTTCTGTTGACCAAGATGTGACTGACCTCCTGTTAAACCACTAGCTATCAAACTAGCAATGTTTTTGAATAACTGTTTAGGCTATAAAATGTCACAAAATAGTGAAAGGTTTCCTCTGAAATTTTCCAAAGCTCAAGGTGACATCCTAAAATTACTACCAGAAAACACAAATGTAATTTTTAAAAACTTTTTCTCAGTGGAGAAGCTTGAACCGGCATTTCTGCTCCGTAAATAACAATTAATTAATTATCAGAATTGTTCATCTTCTAATCCACTAGTTTATTAATTGACTAACTCTCTAGATCACTTTAATGTCGATAATTACATATATGTGTTTTTGTTTGTGAGTTTATTGCTGTTTTTCATTTAACAAAAATGAATTTGAATTCTCATCTCTTGGTTACACAAAATGTAAAGATAAATTCATATTCTGCCTCTCAAAATGTTTGTATTACTCAAGTGGTTTCCATTCAACCACAGCAACGTTTTCATGTTGTCAGGAGATTATCTGACCACCGTCTCTCCTTACTTCTTTTCACAGAGACACTTATGGACTCCACTACAGCCACAGCGGAACTCGGCTGGACGGTCTACCCCATGTCAGGGTCGAGTGACAATAGCGTAAGTGACATGCTCTACTTTTGCTATAATCTGCTTCTGATAAAGAATTGAATTATTATTTAAGTAATAATATAATTACAAGTAATTTTAGGGCCTTTGTTTATTGTGACATAGATGAGGTGTGTGGTGGCCCTCTCTTTTGTCCAATGTAAAAGTGCAGCTAATGTGTAAATTTGCTCAGTCCCCCGTGATACCACTTTTTTTCGGTCTTTGTTTTGGTTTCTCACGCTAAGGTCAAAGAGCAAAAAATGAGCCAGCCTGGAGATAAATCACTTCCACCAAAATAATCCAACTCCAAAATTAGATTATAGATTAGATAATGTGATCTCCACATTGGGAGATGTTTGAATAAGAAAACTTATTTTTTGGTAGAGTTTGAAGAGCAGAAAAAAAACACTTTTTACTTTTGGATATCACCATTTTACCACAAAGACAAGGACATTTTTACCATATTCACTGGCCCCATTTTCCTTTTGGTTATTATTCCATACATTATCTAGGTTTTAGCATGGGTTTAACCTTACCTGAACTTTCTGGTTCACGACAAACACAGCAAGAATGTACAATCATAAAGTTAAAGCTAAATATGCCAGGATAGAAGCTATGTGTTACATTGGCCCTGTTGGTGTTTGATGCACAGTATTTCCACATGGTTTGCCAGGGCATTGGTTCCTCCTAACCACATGCAAGCCAGCCCCACTTAAAGCCAGCCAAAACCAGAGTCTCAGTCTCCTTCACTTCTTTCCCCACCACAAGATTTAGACTTCTTAGAATGAGTCCAAAAGAGAGAAAAAATGTTGTAGACTTATTTGCTGGTGCATTTCAAAAAACCACTGCAGATTTTATTCAATTATTTATGCTTCTGTGGTTTGTATTAAAGATGGTTTGAATTATACTCTATCATGCTGTGTCTTTTGCACTAAAAAAGAAGCAAGAAATGGCAGCATAGAGAGCTGGCCTTCAACAGTTCCATGATACAACTTCAAAGTTGTTCAGCAATAATTTAGGACAACTTCATCTCTCCCAACCTTAGGGCACATTGTCTCCTCCCTGGTAATTCCAACAATCAATACCAAAGCAAAAAAACAGAAAAAACGACTGGTTTCCTTTTCTCTCACCGGCTCTGGATCCAATCTGCACAGAGAGAGCTTACGCACACATACCGACTCCAAAGACAGTTTACATCACATCTTCCTTTCATCTCTGCAAAATGTTGGATAAAGCAAAACATTCACTCGGCCCACATTTAATAATACGATTTAATACTAAGTAGAAACTTCAGACTAAAAGGTTGAATACTAAGCTTACTGTTGCAAACTATGTGCGGTGAAAATGCCCACTCTGGCCAAAGTGAGGTGAAATTAAGGTCTCAACATCAAACTAAAGACCTCTAAGCTCTTCAAGAATCATCTTTGTTCCAGTAAGATGTGGTGTACCGCCTGATTCTGTGATAGTTTTCTCTTCCAAATCAAATAACTTCACTTTTAAGAGTTATCTAGGAGGACTTTTGAATGCGTGTTCTTATTTCTTTCTTTTTTCAACTTGAGATATTCCATGCTCCTTTCTGAAAACCTCCAAATGCACTTACGATATATCCCTCTGTTGGAGTGCAATGAAATGCGAACAAGTTCCTAAGCCGCTGGATTTAGTCAGGTATAGGTTGGCCTTATCAGCGTGGGCACTGAAGTTTTAAGATGATACGACGGAGCTTGTCAAAAGCACAGTCCACTGGAAAGCGAAGAGTGAGAGCGATGGAGATAGCATGTCCCTTATGGCCCTGGGCAACAGGTGTGGAAACAGAGCTTGCGCTCCTACTCAGTATAACAGCAAGAGGTGCTTTACAGAAGCTATTGTCTTACACACATATATGCATGGCTTCATGGGCTTAGCTGGTGGATCAGTAACATCCAGCAGAGCGCCGCACCAGCAGTTGGCTTTCACTACTCTGTATAGCTTCATGAAATATATCCTAACTTGACATGTGATACTTTGCGACACAATGGAAACGCAAACAAGCAACAGTGTGATATTAAGTCAGAAATGTTATGGCAGTTGGTGTTATTCCACTTTTATTTTACAGCATATTTGAATATCACTTATCAAATTATTATTATAAGAAACTTATTCAAGTTTTCAAGCTATAAAACCAACTTCCTACAGCAGGTTTGTGGAAGTGATTTGTGTAAAACAATATTACACTTCAGCTTCCGTAAATCAAGTTTTATAAGCCTCTCTTTGTATAGCCAAGCAATTCTTCCTTTTAATTATGTAGAATGACAGCCAGACTTATGTTATGTCCCTTAGCCAGATGAGCAAGACGTCTTCATTATGCTTGATATCAATGCTGAAAACAAAGACAACCAATGTAATATTTACCAAACCAGAATTTATCCCGGGGCAGTCTAGGAAGTTTACTGTCCTCTGACTAACAGTTTGAGATTCTGGCAATAAAACACGCACATCACATGCCTCTCTCCACCCACACAGGGGGACTGTTGCTGTCACTATAGTTGGCCTATAATGTAAATGTGTGTCTCTGGGCAACTTTGTGAAGACTTAACCCCAAGTGCTCCCAGAGCACACAACAATGATATAACAATATTAATGCATATCTGAACATCACAACAAATTTGCATTTCTGTTACTGACCAGCAGAACACACTGAAAAAGGACAGTTTTCAATTTACTACTACTAATGCCATGCACATGGCTTCTTATACAAACTCAACATTTGCAAAGAAGCTTGTGTAGCTCCTTTACCATTAGTCTGGTTAAAGTTACTCAGAGACCCATTGAGAATCTTCTATGTGACATGGAACTAATGTATAGCCGGCTAGCAGAGAAGGGTTAAGTGGTCAATGTTTTCCTCTCAAGTGGGGCTGAGAGACGTGTGAACATCAGGTCAGACCTCCTGACCTGCTCTCTCCTGCGCTGAAGTACCGACAACAGCAACCATTTAAAAACAGACTTATGGCCGCAGGGAGCACATAGAGCTACTGTGGAAGAAAAACTGAGGTCTCCTGCATAGGCGGAGAACATAATGAGGTGGTGTGTGTGGGTTAGGTTATCATTATGGATGTGTCATAATGTGCTGTACTAGGATATATCTAGTGTCACTTGGGGACACACCACACAAGAAAGTTTTGCAGGAAAGGCAGTATGCAAGAGGATATTGCAAAATGTTTTGAAACAAATCGGTTGGTTATGATTGATCAAATATGCTGCATATTGTCTTAGAATTCCTTTGGAATAAGATTGAGGTTGTTTACGTATAATTGTGGGCATGTGTGGCAGGCCGACATACTTCTTTTCACATAGGCTTTCTTTTTCTATACAAGTAATTTGTTGAACATATTTCATTGTATTGGACTCATTTGGAATTAAAGTGACCACTAATTTGTGACTGTGATTCACAATTAAAGTCTGTGAAATTATATTTTAGGAATTAGGCAAAGAAATATGCAAACACAATCCACATGTGACATTGAATAGGGGTAAAAGATGGAATTGTTCTTCTAGTTTCACATGTTGTGCATTAGTAGTGGACAGTGGTAATTGGAGCTGACTGCAACAGACAGTTCTACTTAAGTCTGTGTGTGTGTGTGTGAGTCTCTCCTTTCTATGAAGCCTGGTCTCCTGCAGGATTTGGCTCCCATGGCCCCTCTCGTAGTAATTGAATGCAGAGAGTGGGTGTCATTTGTCCTCTGTCCCTTCAGGGAAGGCACTCTTGCTCTGACAGATTTCCCACAACTGCAAATGGGGCGACTGGGCCTTGAGAGTTTTCTGCAGGGTCTCTCTCCCTGCTTTTGTGTGAATAATTTATTTACTTCTGTCAGTGATAGAGCGGTGATAAGCGATGTGGCTCTGGCTCGTGAAGCTAGTTCAGGTTAATTCAAACACTGTAATGACAAGACGTGATAAATACACAGTTCATGTTATGTCGAAACAATGAAACCGTTAAATCTCTGAGTGTTCTGACAGTGCGTTCACACTTGACTGATGTGTCATTCTATTTTGACCAATTGTGGGATAAAGAAACAGGCTGTTTCCGACCGAGTTGTGGTGTGCAGCGGTAGCTATAAGACTTATGTATTTATACATGTTGTGTTTAATTCTGCTTTGTCTTTGCCTATCATAAAGTAACCAAGTCTGGATTAGTAAAAAGGCAGTAATAGAATATAAAAGCTATATAGACCTCAATGATAGATGCAGTAATGGATGCAGTCATTTGTTTAGGGGTGATTCTTCTTTTAGTCTTCCAAATAACAGTTTTACAGTCATTTAAACGGATGTGACTGTAACAACCGTCAACAACTCTTCCATTTCTGTTTGCCAGACAGATCAATTTATCAAAAATTTGGCTGAGTGTTGACGACCAGTGGCCACGAAGAGTGTAGTTGTGGTCGACTCTTTTGCAGCCAATAAACTTGCTGACCGTCTGCACATTGGCGAAGTTTTTCTGGTTGCACAGATGTACAGGAAATGGAGAATTCTGACAACTTGATTGTGTTGCTTGCAGTATGAATACATTGTAAGAGCATAGTAGTCCCAACAGAGCAATATAACAGGCTGACATATCAAAAGCCACGTGTCTGTTTGTCTGACTCTTGACTAGATGCTTGGCTCACTGACCTTGAAAGTGGATATCCTTCAATAAAAGGCCAATCTCAAGGTTCCTTCCCCTGTTTTAAATGAAGATATTGTTTGAGTTGTTCATTGTTTTTATCTTGGATCAACAGTTTTTTTTTTATTTTATCTTTTTAGTCAATAGAGCTGTTGTCAATCACCTTAATGCTGTACATGTAATTAAGGTCTGTATACAAATGCATGACTTATGTGTTCTTGAGCACTGAACACAGAGCCTTTCTGTGCTCACCTAGTGTAAACCAATTTGGATTAAAATGTCAGTTAAATGGAATAAGAGAGTGAACAGTAGCTCCTGAATAACGTGTGCTTACAGGGGAGTTTGGTAATGAGTTGCAACAAAGAGGTCCAAGGAGGACTTTCATTTCGACTGGTGATTGAGGCAAAAAGCTGTCTTTGGTGAATTGCCTCAGTTGTAGAGGCAACTCTAGTCTATAATTCAGCCTTGACAGTGCGCTACGCATGACTTTACAGATAAAGCAGAGTTCTACTGTCATGGAGACGTATGGATTGCAGGTCAGCTGAACTTTTCTGTTTCTCTCCTGGAGTGGCAGAGGAGTTATTGATTCTGAAGCTCATTCTCAGTGAGCGTCACTGAACTGTAGCACCTCGTATAACACCAGAGGAAGAGAGGAACAGCTGAAATATAGTCGTTTCTACTAGCCCTGCTATAGTCTAACCACCACAATCTATATTCACTTCAGACAGGTTTGCAGGGCATTTGTCTCTCAGTATTACTGCGCTCTAGCATAATATAAATTACAGGCACTCCAGCCAGTGGACCAAAGGCTGGTGTGGGAAAGTAGTTTTATTAACAAAGCAGAGATGGCCTGACAACAGTTGGAACAGTTTATTATCAGTTTAACTGGCAGGATGATAAAGGTGCAGGAATTTGTTTTGAGAACAGTACAAAGGCGGTGTGGACACATGACTGCTTAATCTAAATCTAACGTGCATGATCTAAACAGTAGGTGTGCACGCTAACAACTGACTTTTTGGCAGTAGCACTAAAACTGTCATGTTTGCTAATATAACAGAGTTATAAAGGCTCTGGTGAGAGCCACAAACTTTTGGCATCAAACATCATATGCAGGTGCATATCAAGTATTTGTTTCAGTTTGCTCGTAATAATGGATAACATCCAGCAGGGTAAACCAACTTTGAAAATGACTTGCCAACTCTATTCAAACCAGCATTATTAGACTCAGGACCCCAACAAGAGCAATTAAAACATAAAACAGTGTCTTTCTGTTTGGAGCCAGTCACACGTTCGGTTTCACATCATTGATTTTTTTATTGTAAGAGAATGTTTGTGTGTTTTTTTCACAGAGGAAGGGAGGACATAGTGTGCTATGAAAAAGCCTTGTTATTTACCTTAAAGTCTTATGTCTAATAACTTATATAAAAATATACCCAAAATATTTTACAAATGTAAATTAGCTCTTGATAATATTTGATGTGCCGTTGGTTGTTTGGAAAATGCCTTTTATCATTCTGGTCTTAAACATCTATTTTTTTTGGGCTATGTTTTATTATGTTGTTTATGTTATATTAATGCACTAATGCACTCAGCCCTTTGGCTGTGGATTTCCACACTCCGAGAACAAGAAAAACAACATTTTGCCAAATGTAACAGGATCTCGGTAAAATAAGCTGGAGTTTTTGCTTCCATCATCATCTGAGAGCAGCTCATCCCCTCTAACTAATCTATCGTGACATCCACCACCAGGGTTACCTCCACTTTCTGTACTTAAAACACATGACCACCCTTTTACAGCACTCTGTGTAAAGAGCCAGGGGAAAGAGCTGTGAAAATGAAGACGTTTCTTCTAATTTCACACTCTGCGCTTGATCGTTAGGCTCTTATTATGCCCCATTTGCTTCCCTCCACTGGCTGTGATGAAAGCGGGGCAAAGAGGCCATGACAGGACAAAAAGGGGCCCTCCATCAAAACACATTTTGTTTGGGGTCTTTTTTAGCCTGGCTCAACCCTTCCCCCCACATCACTGCCAACACTTTCCCCTGCAGTTTCCCCTGTCTGCATCCCTCATTAGCAGCAACCCCCACCTGTCTCCACATTCATTTTTTTTAAACTGCGATTGTCCAACTCTCTGTGCTCAGTAGAAGCGGACTGTCCGTTCTTGTTTAATTGGCCCACAGCCTCCCCACTGCTCCTCAACAAGTGGGAAGGTCAATAGCTGCTCATGACCTGCAATGATGATGTCTGCCAGTCCGGGCCAAAAGACAGATTTATCCTTCAGCCATACCCCCAAGAACCTGTAGCTTGTATAATCGTGTGATAATTGATTCATTTGTGTGGTTTTATAGCTAGATAATAAATCAGACCACATTTCATCACTTTGGGGTGATGGTGCATTCACATGTAGTCTGGTATTCTTTAAATTTACATAGCTAAATTGGCAATTTTACTATCAAAATGTGTTTACTCTGATTTAACATAAAAGCCCATTGTTAACTGTTTTTTTGTAAGTGGACTTACAGGCCCAAGATTCAGATATAGAAGTTATTAATATAGCTTTTTGTTCAATTTTATTCTAATTATTCTCATTATTACTATTATTTTTGGCTGCACATCAGTCTTTTCTGTTTAGGTTGGCTCGTGTGATGGTTTGGATTTGGGTTTGGGTCAAGCCAGCATCACACTAGCAGTGATTAATTAGGACATGGGAATTAAGAACTAAAGCTGTTCTAATTAGTCAGAAAGCATTTGATAGAATGCCGGTTTGCAACAAGAGGGGTGACTTTCTTCTCCCAACCCGTCAAAATCTGTCAAAATCCTCACTAAGTGGGCACTAATTTGAGAAATTATATCAGCTGTGAAGTGAAGAGTGAAGGGGGGAGGTAAAGCGGTGGAAGCAGTAGAGGGTGCAGCTGATGCAAAGTGGCTCTCGGGCGTTGAGAACAGGGTTTTTTCCTCGGCTGAGATGCCGAGGTCAAGGTCGTGACCTTCTCGGTGGTTAGAGCGCATGGTGTTTAAAGCTGGTTTGATCCATTGCCAAGGGGCAGGAAAACCACAGAGGTTGCATCTGGAGACTGTAGTCAGAGTGAGTACTGGTGTGCAATATGTGGACTTTGAAGTAGAACAGAATACCCAGAAAACCTGGGGTGAAATTTGCCCCTTGATTATTTTTTATATGATTACCTATGTAATATGATTACACTCAGTTTAGCCTGTCTTTGATTGTGGAAAATTCATGTCATGTTTCCTCAGTGCTTCACTGTAGTGAAAGGAGCTTTCACTGCAATGTCAATAACCCATTACAGTATGTGCTATGAATGTGTCCTATTAAGACACAATAAAAATGTAGGACACACCAGCACATAAACCAGAACCTCTCTGTTCTGTTCAAGTGACTTAATGTCATGTCTCCAGTTTCTCTTAAAGCATTACAGGATGTGAATGGTTTGCTCAATGAGAGGAAAAGAGACGGTACACTTCAAAGGTGTCTGCCTCTACAAAGCATACCAAGATAAACTTTTAACCATTAATTGCGCCATGCATCGCACATTTTGAAAATATCAAAAAAGGCAAACTGATTGATGCTGTAAGCCAAGTAGAGTTTTAAATGACACCTTCATAATGCCACCCTCCCTTTGTTGGATTTACCTGTCAGTGCCATGTAACAGATGACACCCAGTTCATGTACGCAGTCCTAAAAATGTCCCAAAATTGGAACTCATTCAGTAATGTGAGAGCAGCTGTTCTCATTAAGAAAATGCAACTCTTGGATTTCTGAAAGTCATTTAACACATAAGCCCCAAATAGTGAACCACAATATGTTGTTTCTCACTAAAATAACTAATTCTTCAGACTATTATTATTATGTTTAAAAACTTTACATACTTGACTAAATCATTTGGAGTAAGGGTTACAGTAAGTACCCTATACGTAGCCTTGTTAACATACCAGTATTACCTCAAGAAATGGGAGAACATGCTGGAAAGACTGCTTCTCATTTCTTCCTGTGCATTCATGGAGACAGTGTCATTAGAGATATTATGTTGCTTTGCACCATGTAATCAGTTTAATCAAAATATTGCCTTAAGCTGATTACTCACAGTAATCAAAGTATTATAAAGTGTGCATGAAAGGAATCTTGTTATTGCTGCAAAATAGGTATCAGCGGGGCTTTATGACAATTTATATTAATAGGAAACATGCAGACAATTTGCTGCTTTACAGCTGAATTGCACTTAATTGAATGAATCAGGTAAACTATGTGCCTCAATTGCCAATTCTTTTTTGTTTTGTTTTTTCATAAAATTCTGTACTCACATGTAAATATGTTTATGTCTGTCCTTGGCCAACAGTGGGAGGAGGTGAGCGGTTACGACGAAAACATGAACACCATCCGGACGTACCAGGTGTGCAATGTTTTCAACAACAATCAGAACAACTGGGTACGGACAAAGTACATCCGGCGTCGTGGTGCTCAGCGCATCCATGTGGAGATGAAGTTCTCGGTTAGGGACTGCAGTAGCATTCCAAACGTGCCGGGCTCATGTAAAGAGACTTTTAACCTCTATTACTATGAATCTGATGCAGACACAGCCACCAGAACCTCCCCAGCTTGGATGGAGAACCCCTGGATCAAAGTTGACACCATTGCAGCAGATGAAAGCTTCTCCCAGGTGGACCTAGGGGGCAGAGTGATGAAGATTAACACTGAGGTTCGGAGCTTCGGCCCTGTGTCACGAAATGGCTTCTACCTGGCCTTCCAGGACTACGGTGGCTGTATGTCGCTCATCGCTGTCCGCGTCTTTTACCGGAAGTGCCCTCGCATCATCACGAACGGGGCGTTGTTCCAGGAGACACTCTCAGGAGCAGAGAGCACCTCCCTGGTGGCTGCTAGAGGCGTTTGCATCCCCAACGCAGAGGAGGTGGATGTGCCCATTAAGTTGTACTGCAATGGAGACGGAGAATGGATGGTACCCATCGGACGCTGCATGTGCAAAGCTGGGAACGAGGCCGTGGAGAACGGGACTGTTTGTCGAGGTATGTTTTGCTCTTATAATGTTTGCATTAAATCTGCTAAGCCTAATGAATCAGTCTGCTCTGCCATCATAACAACGTAATCCAAACACTGAAGGATATAATCTATACAGTGTCTGATAGTGCCCTCACCGTAAACTGTTCCAGGGATCTATTAATACAACTGAAGCTAGTTATAAATGTTTTTTTTATTAAAAGACATTATGGAAGGTATACATTCTGCGCTTAGATTATTGACCTAATCACCATATTCTCATAAAAATGATCATTAACCCTTGCTGTTTATTTCCTTTTTTTAAATCAAAAATACACTGCACTTTGGATGTTGTGACTGCAGAAAATTCAGTTTAGTTCAGTTCTGAGCTACCATAAATGATGGGAATTACTCACAGGTGTTAGGTTGCAAATCACAACAGCTTGTCAGTGAACAAATTATCTATTACTTTTCTTCCTGTGGACCACACAGCACATCTACAACTAAACCTCCAATCCATCTATCTATATTGTAATCTTTTTGTCTATATGAAAAGGGGTGCATTAAACGTGTAATTGTGCAAGCACGGTATGTTCAGGGTCTTTCTTCCTTTCATTTGAATGTTTATTTTCCAAAAAATAGTAAGAACATGTCAGCCTTTCCTAACATAGATGCACCACTCTATGCATATTTAACAGAACTCTGCTTAACAGAAATTCTGGAAAAAAAAGGATACAAACAACAATTTTTCATCCTGTAAAATTTTTGTGCTGACCTTTTGTTGGTATAATGCCTCCTTCCATCCATGAGGACAAAGAGGATCGTTTTCAAAATTGCCGACATTTACCTATCAATTGGAATCCCTCACAGGCAAATCGATTTGGCTTTTCAAAACATCAATGTACCCAACATTTACCTGTGCCGTGCCCTATCCGCACTCTGGCAGGTGGTATTTGGTCAACGTGCTTAGAGATCTTGATCACTTGAAACAGCACGACAGCGAGCAGCACAACAAACCACCCACCTGCGTTTTAGATCGGTGTGTTGCTGCCTTTCTTATGCGCGCCTGTAATTACAACACATCCCCCAGTGTCTGTGTGCTGGGAGGGGAAACGTGATGGGTGCTGCCTCACAAACACTGCCAGGCCCCGCTCAATGACTGTTAATGAGGACAGGCACCAGCTCCTCCTCAAGGAATACAGACCAATAAGAGGCATGTGACGATGGCTACTCTGCTGTAGCAAGCTACTTTGAATCCACAGACCCACATAATTACACAAATCTGCTTGTTTTTTGACCTACATGTAATTCACTGCATGTGGTGGATTGAAACATCTCAGGGGTGTCCTCTGTCATGGTTTTTTTTTGTGCTAAACAGGATTATACAATTAAATGCTGTCAGTGCAACAGGGAAAGCATGTTGATTCATTTATATCCTCGCGCTGCTGGGCATGAGACTTTTTGACTGAAAAAATGCAGCATTTTACCTTCCCTTCCTGACCACCCTCCTGTTTATTTCTCCATGCCTGCTGTACACTGGCTTTGTTAGCCAACATCCACCAGAAGAAAAGCTTCACTGACTGCATGCTCTCTTCTTCATCACCCCCCCACTGCAGTGAATGTTATAGATTTAAGCACTGCAGGGCTCACGAGATAGTGACTCTGACAGAACACAGACAGATTTCCACCGTCCTCTTTGCCACTTGGTCTTCCCCGATCACTTGATGCAGTGACTGAATATTAAAGCTTTATGAAAAGAATGCATTATCTGAGAGTGCAGCTGTGGAATGCAGCAAAACACTACGCACAGAGATTTATTTTTATGGCTCCATACAATAGTTATGAGCCTCAGTGGAAACAACAGGGAAGTGTGTCTTTTACCAAGAAAGAAAATAAAACCATTACAGTCAAAAAGGGATATTATTCTGTGGTTCCCCTATTGTTCAGAAGCCCATTTTGATTGAAGACTGCCACAAGTTGGTCTGCTCTCTAGTCATCTTCCCAAACTCTGAAAGCCAATATCAGTGCTTGAAACTGTGGTCAGTCGCCGCCTTTCAACTGCCAGAAGTTGGTTAATGAATTGATCTATGAAAGATGCGCCTTTGCCTGGCGATATTACGGGGTAATGAATTGATTTGTGAGAGGTGCCCTCGGAGGGTTTGGAAGATATCCCCTTTCATAGCTGGTTTGTGGAGCCAGAGAGACAGCATAAAGCAGCGAAGATGAAAGAGACTATTTGTACTGTAATATTAATAACACAGCCATTGCTTTGTTCCAACATCTCCGCAACTAAACGTGTAATTACGCATGTAACAATTAAATCCTTGGCAGAAATCCCGGCAAATAATTATACTGTCATGAAATCTGTCAAAATATTGACAGTACAGGGGGGTGCTTACATCAAATTGCTGAGGCCTTTTTCTCTGCGATTGTCTTACAAGTGAGATTAAGTTTCCTCTCTAAGAAGCGCTGGGAGTGAGGGAACCACACCAGGGCTTGTCAGCAGAGACAGCCCTGAAAAGAGAGACCCTTCTTCCCCTCAGAGCCTTGAGGAGATGGTGCACCACAGAGACACGTGAGGTCCTGTTTGCCCTTGTTGTTGACTCCAGGATGAAAAGCATTCTCTTCAGTGGGGCACAATGAGAGCCATGTTCATGGGTGAAAACTCCCTTAACAATGCCCATGTGTGTTTTTTCACTGTAATCTGATCATCTAACCCCATGCTATAGGGAGTTCAAGGGTCTCGACTGTGGGAGCGTGGCTCGTGTTATAGAGCAGTGAAGATTTAGATGGAGACAATATGTCACAGCTTGATTCATCTTTTGGTTATGTTTTTGTTAATGACTTTAGCAGTGTAGTATATAAGCAGTGCAGTCGGTGTGGCCCAGATTTGTAGGGATAAGAATCACCACATAACATCACACAGCAAGACAGTGGATACAAAAGTGCAACTGTTACATATTCTTCGCACTCTTCCACTTATGTGCAGTGGGAATATTTGTGTGAAAAAACTGTTTTGATGCCGGGAAACAATTAGGTTTATACCTCCACACTCAAAGGCAGTGACACTATTCCGAGCTCCAGATGGACTGTACAATGGATGTATCGAATTCTGCTGAACATGCACAACAGGCCCCACAGCGAGTCAGTAAGTCACATGACTGATAAGCATTTTTAGGTCACGGTGTAGAGAATTTGGAACAACACTAGCGCCTCTTTTAATGTCAGTCTCTTGGTGAGGTCTGCGTAAGTGGTGGGTTGTAGCTGGTTGGAAGCGGGGTTCCTGCACTTGCACCCAGAGCAATTAGATTAAGGAGGAAAGTAATTCTTCAGCCAAATGTGGTTGTAGATAAAGAGAGTTAGGGGGATCTAGTGCAAAGGTAGGTGCTGGGCAGACATGATTGGATAGACATGATTGCATGGAAAAGAGGAGGGGAGGCAGGAAATGAGTCCCCCTAACCCACTGTCAGAATCCCAATTATTGCAGTCTCTTCGTCTGGAGAGGGTTTAAGGGTGGAAATCAGCGTAGCACAGACAAATCCACACCGCTGCCTTTATTTCCCTGGGTGCCTCTGTCTTTAATGGCAGCTCTAATTGACTAACAGTGCACGTGGGGAACAGCCATGCCGATGACTGGATGACTGTCCTCTGCGCTGGAACAAGACACAAAGCAAAACAAAACAAACACACCCCCTCAAGGCTTTTGCTGCATTGTGTATTGTGCAAACAAAGATGAAGGAAGATTTGCATTGGGCTGCAGTAACAGAAAGAGGGAGAGCGAGTGGGAGAAAATAAGAAAAAGAGAAAGGGAGACCAAAATGTCAACATTCTGCCTACACAATAGGCATTCACACAATATTATGTTAAAGTAAAAGCCACACTTAGATTACTATTTACTCTCTTAGATTGATGGCTGCTTCGGCTGCTGTTAGGAACCCTTTAGTTAAGCATAAGGAATACAAATTAGCTCCTGAACAGATGTTCATTACTGCAACATTTGTCTGTTAAATGGCATCATAGACAACATGACTTAATTTCTGCATCATAGGCGATATCACTTAATTTCCATTACTGATCTTTTTATATAGACCCATAAAACGGGTCTGTGATGTGTATTTGGTCTGTACGCAGTGTAGGATGTTGTAACAGCAGGAGGCCAACAGGCGAGCTCTAAGACATGTCACTTTGTCCACAGAGGCCCCAGGGAGCATTCGGGAGCCTTTATTCCCCCTTCCCCACTGTGATGGGATTTCAGTGTGGCCAGGTGCTTTTTTTTTCTCTGCCCGCCAGTTTGTTCTGCACCCTGCACACATCTATACAGCAGGAGAGAGAGAGAAAACAAACACAGAAAAACAAGCGAGGGAGCCACTAATGAGAGGAAGGGAAGAGACTAATGAGAGAAAAACTCTGAATTAAACACACATACAGCCCTTTCAATATACATTACAGTATGTGTAGCAGGGTGCACAAATCACATTACAGCGCACGGACACATATGCACTGCCATACAGTAGGCAATCATGTGCACACGCAGGGACCTTTTATACCCACACACATACACGTTATCATCCTCATTTTCACAGCACATCCATCATATGTGGATGTGATAACGTGACCTGCGATCCCTGCGAATCTCCCTGAGTTTGAAGATCGTGGCCTGTTAAGCCTGTAAATGATTTCCACATGTTTTTGCACATGTCGGGCTCTGCTCCATATGCCCCTCCGTCACACTCCTCATTATCCCACACCATCTATTGAATCTCAAATTCAGTCAGTTTGACCTCTTATAATCCCAGGACCTCTTTTTTTCTACATTACTGGTCATCTCACCGACTATAGTGGCCTCCTGCAGGCCTGGTTCTTGCTCGTAACACCTATCACTGTCTCACCCTGAGCCCCCAAGATACCAGACAGTCTGATGACCACAGACAGTTTTGCTGGTGTTTCTCCATGAGAGCAACACTTGGTGACAACCCTGAGACCTTATGATTTTGTTCATGATAAAGTTGCTTTGGATTGTCCTGATACT